ATACATATATATATATATATATATACATATATATATATATATATATATATATGCCTATATATAGGCCTATATAAATCATCAAAGACAGTACGAATAAAGGACATGAAAATATCGTGTAGCACTCTCAACGAATGTTGTCCTATAATATAAAAAGATAAAGAAATCGTGTAATAAAATGCCTCTGACAGGACTCACACCTGCGACCTCTCGCTGTCAAGGCGAGCGTCATAACCATTAGACGACAGAAGCTTCATGGTTGAACAGATTTAAATAACGTCAGATACACTCCATTACACAATTGGTACGGCTGGAAACCAATAATAGCATATTTAATATTTTATTTATTTATTTATTTCAATAATCTTTTATGAGGGTGGTACATCCAGACTTAAATATAGATAAACTAAAATAAAAAATGCAAAAAAAAAAAAAAAAAAAAAAAAAAAAAAAGAATACACTGAATAAATCAAGATTCGTTAACACTGTTAAATTATATATAAATCATCAAAGAAAGGTAAATACAGTGTTCGAATAAAGACACGATAATACATCGTGTAGCATAGCTCTCAACGAATGTTGTCCTATAAATAAATAAAGCATTGTGTAATAAATGCCTCTGACGGGACTCGAATCTGCGACCTCTCGCTGTCAAGGCGAGCGTCATAACCATTGGACCACACATGGTTGAACAGGTTCAAATAACGTCACATACATTCCGTTACACAATAAGTACGGCTGGAAACAAATAATAGGATACGGTATATAATATAAATCAAGATAGCCGTTAACACTGTTAAATTATATAAATCAACAATGAAAGGTAAATACAGTGTTCGAATAAAGGACATGATAATAGGTGTAGCATAGCTCTCAACGAATGTTGTCATATATATATATATATATATATAATATTTTAATTACATTTATTGTAGGTTTAAGTTTACAGTAGCACAATCTAGCTTAAAACAATTCTTGTCACAATGTCAATCATCATGGACTGCAAAAAGTAAGTAGGCTGACATTTCCATTCTTGCTCCTACCATTATCTCCATGCTCCTACTTACATTGTCAGTGTGTGCAACAATTTAGGCAACAAGTGGGATGACTGGAGTTGGACGAATGTGAGGGCGTTGTAGGAAACAGACAGTAGGCAGGAAACCACGTCTTGGAAGTGTAAACAAAACAACGGTCTCATTCTCTACAACCTACATGCTGCAATCAATAATTTTTGAATTGACTTCTTTACTTTCTTTGTAGGTAGGTATATTTTTATTGA